TGTGATTTTTTTTTCAATTCATCTTCACAGAATGTTTATAGCATATACGTTAATTTTTACAAACAGAGAAGAATAACATTTTAACTATATATTATAATAAACGTTTCGAAGAAGCATGCAATGATCCAAAACTTTAGATACAACGCATAATTAATCTTTTAAATTAACGATCGATGGCTGGTTCGTTGATCTTCGTACTCGAACGATAATATCTAAAGAATATCGATTTACTTTAGAACGCTACTTATAGAACTACCAAGTAAGCCCCGGTGTAATCCATTTTGAGGACAGAAATATTTATTTCGAATTCTCGCTGTAAGCTCGAGATTTCGTAAACGGCTGAAGTAAAGACGGTAAAAAGACGGCATTGAGGATGTAGTCGATTTATGCAAACGCATATAATAACAAGATAGACGATGGACGAACCTAGTGCGTCCCGGCGAAAAGATCATTGAGAGGATGCACAAGCATACCAGTCAGCTTCGCGGTCCAGGTGGCCATAATGGTGGCTATCACAGCGCTAACAGGGGCCCAGTGAGGAGATGGAACAGCTTCCATGGTGGTGGTGGCGGTGGCGGTGGCGGTGGCGGTGGTGGTGGCATGGGTAATTTCAACGATGGCGTTGGAAACGGCGGCATAGTCACGAAGGCCTGTCAGGAGCCCTTCAGGGCTGTGCCTAAGGCAGTGCAAGCCCTCAGGAGTGAGTCCGTCGACAGGACTCATCGAGTTCAGCCACCACCACCACCCGCATTTCCCAGAAGAAGATTTTCCGTGTGGTGAGTCCAGGATTACGTTGAGGAAATTTCGATTTTCAATCGCGAAAATTACTCGATTAGTTTCCTCGAATGAAACTCACTTCAAAAGAATGAAAATATTGCCACTATTGAAAGTCGAAGGAAAAGAGCGAAGAAAATATTTGCACTCTCGAATAAGAGTGACAGATTTTTATTTATTTATTTTTTTTTTTTGGAGTAAGACTCCAAAGGAAAGAAATCTCACTCCTTTTCAAAGAAAAAGAGATTTCATTCGTTTGGAGTGAATCTTACTTCAATATTTATTTAGAGAGTATTTTTAAGTTTTATCGTTATCATTGTTGTTTTAATTACGATGTGACAGCAGAGTAGGTATGCTTATATGAATTCTCTTGGATTACACGGAAAATTAAAAGTAGAGTAATTGATAGTCGCAAGTAACTTGAATGTATATTAAGGTAATTATGAAGAATAATAATAGATCCTCTATATTGTTAATTGATTGATATATCTTCACCTATTAATATATAAGTTATGTTATTGCTTGCTGTTACGCAAGTGACTGTTATTAGTATAATGTTATTTGCATATGTAAAGTTATTTTTGTTATTATTATAATTTACATGATTATGAGTTACCTAGTGTTTTTTACATAAGTGATGTGTGGTTGAATTATCTGTTATTTTCATTTCTGGAAGTTGATAAGTAAATAGCTCAAAAACCACAATCTATGTTTCTATTGTCAACAACGTTTCTATAGATAACTTCTTATCTCTCTCTCTCTCTCTCTCTCTCTCTCTCTCTCTCTCAGATGTAGATATAAATAGTTCAAAATCCTAGAGTGAAAATCTTGATGAAAATGTTTAGCGATAATATTAAGTTTGCATGCAAAAATTCCTATTGTTTAAAATTGCTTTTGCGCTTGAAGTATTTTTGAATAATACATGCCATACCTTGCTATATTTTAAAAAGATATTTAATTTATTATAGGTAAATATGCCGAATAGGGGAGGCAGCTCTTTGACCTTGACATTAGACATATGTTGTCAAGATCATGACTCTGAATCACACCAGGTTTTAACCGTCGTTATTCTTTAAAAATTTATTAACAAAAAAGTTCATCAATTAAACCTAACTTTTGGACACAACTGTGGTCCAATGAATAAATTCCCTGCTTTAACAACGCAAAATATTTTCTTATATAATTTCTTATGTAACTCTGGCAGGGGGGAGGTGGGGTGAGAATCGCTTCGCGTAGAAAGTTGTAAAATATACTTTAAAGCGGAAAATTTCTGTTTTATATAGCAGAAAAGGACATCATTTTTCAAACTTCTTCTGTCAACTTTTTAATGAATGGCGAGCGACGGCTAAAACCTGATGGAGGTTACTCAGGGAAATTACAACATATGTTAAAGTCAAGGTTATCAGAGTTGCCTTCCCTATTCAGTATATTAGTCTCTTAATTTGTCTCTAGCGAAAGTTGTTGATGGATAATTTCGGTTGCGTGAAAGAAGAACCTAATAGTGATAATATGATTAAAAAAAAAGGATAATGGAAAGGATAACAGTTCTAACGACACCATAGAAATATTTCATTTCGTTGAGTGGATCCACGTGGCTAATGTTGTCAAATAGCACGGATAATTTCGCGAAATGGACGTCGCGTCGTCGGGGAGCGAAAATGAGAAAGTGAGAGAGCGAGAGAGGGAGAGAGAGAGAGAGAGAGAGAGAGAGAGAGAGAGAGAGAGAGAGAGAGAGGTGATTAGGCATATAAGATCGTTAATAATGGACGCTTGGCTACGCCATTGGTCTTTGTTAAGATCAGAGCGAATTATAACGAGCGTTTCCTGCGGGTGTATTTCGGGAAAATGGGAACAGAAAGACACGAGTGGACAAAAGTTTGTACCGAGGCTTCACACACTGTTGTGGAATATAAAGCAGACGCGACATTCGAAGCGACGCGCGCGTGCTTTGATTGCTTCCATTACAAAAGCGTTGCCGGGAAACAAATTAAAGGTACATAGTGAATCGCTTGTTAAACCATTGGAAATATCTGTACTGCTTCTGTTAAATTTCGCTTTCTGTATTCGGTTACCATCGGTTCTCTTTTTCGATTAGGTGTGCGCGTATACTGTGTATATATCATCGTATAGAAAGTTATTTTCAATTTGTCGCTTTATTTATCCGTACATACACACGCGCGCATTTTTTTCACGAAACATTTATTATTCTTATAAATATTTTTAGATCATATTTATAAAAATAAAACTGAAAAGGGATTTATCGTATTTATCTCAACCGTCTCTAATGAGCGGAATGAATATGCAAATGTCAAAATATCAAAATTTATTTCTCAACAAAATTTTAAAATATCAATAATATGTAGAATTAGACATATTTACTTTATCAGGATTAAAACTATTTTACTTATACTTTCGTGCAATTTAAATTCATTCCAGTTTTTCAATTTGTCAAAATCATCTTTTGTTCAATTGACTGAATAATAATTATCGCGCAATCATAATTAGTTAGATAAATATTTTTGGCATGATCGATCGTTCTGTCTCTAAGTAGAAGCGGAAATGTCGGCGCACGTGCAGAAAACGGATGACCTAGATGCCTAACGAAATAATTATAATCCTGAGGAAGCGAAATGAGCAACGCGACGTTTACAGGGTTAACCCACGATAGGCTTAAGAGACGGAGAAGCCGAGGAGCGTCATCCACGTCGAATTCAATTTTCTGCGATGTACGAATACACACACACACACACACGCACACACACACACACACACACACACACACACACACACACACACGCGCGCACACGCACACACACAGGACGAGCAATGCGTTACGCATGCGTTACGCGTGCGTTACGCATCGCGGCTTTGCTTGTGTGTTTAAGTCGAGGGAGGAGCGGGATAACACGCGGGTCAACAGCCTTCGACAACCTTACGGCCTTCTGCAACCTCTCTTTCCTCCTTCCCTTTACCCACCATCTTGGTTTTCCGATTCTCGGTCGGTCGAGCATCGACGTTCGATTCACGGTCGTCACCGTTAAATTTACAAGAAGACTTTCCGTCGTGATATCTTCAGATATGAAAAAGCAAAATACCCCGAAAACGGGGAAAGACAATTTCTTATCAACGATGCAATTATTCTTTAATTTGAGCGAATTTTATTTTGTTCTTATTTTATAGTATATTTTTTTGCAAAACGTGAATAGAAAATTGATATTGCTTATATATTTCATACTCTACTCATTGGATGAAATTATGTAACTTCTTTTAATATTAAATTTGAATAATTTACGATCACTTTCAGAAAAAGATTTTATCTCTTGATTTACTATGTAAGTTGATGTAAGATTTGACGTTATGCTACAATACTTTTCATTAAGAAAAATGATTTTGATTTGGGCGGTCACATTTTGGTGAGCTCTCGTCTCATATATAACCGCAGATTTTTCTATATCGTCGAAAATTGGTTGAGCCATTACGGTTTTATATCTAATTTGAGGAGTGGCCTTTTCGACGGTGGGGAACATCTGTTGATGGCGTCGCAGCGTCCAATATATTGGTCGTAGAAGTTAATACTGGGGCGTAGAATGGCGTCACGGCATAATAGTTGTTTGCACGAGCACCCTCGTATTGTCGTTTGAAACGATACGAAATTGAGGGATTCACATGATAAATTTTGGAATCTCCCTCTTTTCTTTTATCCCTATGAGATACGATGTTCAAAAGATGCCAGACTGTTGACTTTCGACAAAACTGTTACTTTTATTTTACAGAATACTTAATACGAATACTTTATTCTGTGGTTACAAATCGATGATCAAATTTTAATTATTATATATATCAAGTGTAATTATTTATTACAAAATTTGATTGGTTACACGCACCATAGCGTTCGTATGATCACCGATTTGTAATTATGTTAACGAATGAACTTAAAAAAAATTTGTTTAATCCTATACTCTAGTATACTCCATTCTCTTTTTATATTATAATAGAGTACTTTTTCTTTAGAAGCAAATAAGTCACATTTGACATTGAGAAATTTTGTGAAATTTTTACTTCCAGATTTATTTATATAACAATATTTTAGTAAGATATTTATATTACACGTATCCTATTATAAAATTCCACAAATAAAAATGTAAAAATCTGTACGGGGAATATGTGATGATATCTATATAACGCGATGAATTTTTTGATTAAAAAATGTTTTTTTGCTGTTGCAGCTTCGGGAAGCGGACGGGTGGCAGCGCCAGGCGACCCAACGAATGCTTCGTCCTCGAGCCCTCCGAGATGATTGTCGTAAGTAAATCTTTGCTTCGTATTTACGATAAGTGAGATGAAAGAAGAAACGATAGGAGAGAATGCGGCCTGGATCGTTAACGCTTTCGAGAAAGCTTAACCACAAAGGAATGCTTTATTTATTCAGTTTTACAAAGTTCCTGCGCGCACGCACACTCACACTCGCAATCGGTTTCAATCAAAACTGGGCGAGCAAGCGTAATTTTTTTTTTTTTCTGCTTGGTTCACCGCGGAACGCGAAACCAACAATCGTGGCGGGCGTTTACGAGATATTCTCAGAGTGCCAGAGATGCCATGCTGTGCGAAGTGCGGTATAAGCGGCGATATCGCGCGGCGAAAAGACAATGCGCTCCGGACGCTCGCGAGACGGAACGTGGCGGACAGTTAATCGATAGTTTCTCTCTCGGTATTATGCTCAGGTTGAGAAGAGTTTTGGAATCCCCCGTCACGCTCCCGTACTTAGCATGCTTTATTTCGTTTCCAACGGCGGTCGATTCTCGACGTACTGAAATTAGGGCAAACTTTCGAGCAAAACCGACGAACTTTTTCGTGAAAGTTGCTTTTTTTTTCGCAAATTGTGAATCTTCAAGATATTTGTTTTGGATACAATCTTTGAACGTTCACAGGATTTTTGCAACAGAAAATGTTTATAAATTTTAAGCCGAATGAAAGAGATGTCGCTATAAACCGAGATAAAATTTAAATATGTTTTACAATTTATTATTCATTTTGTATAGAATCTTTTCTAAAAGTAAATTTGTAATAGTTAATAGTTTAGATAGGAAATGAAAAAAGTGAATAATAAATAATTGAAACAATGTTACAATTTTTTCTGTAAAAGAAAAATGGAATGCCATTGCAGTACGTAATATTTCCTTTCGAAATCGCTTCGTGCGTTTTTATTAAATTATCCTGAAAATGTGAAACGACTATCGCGTAAGCCAGGTTTAATTTCGTTTGTAGTCTCAATATTAATTGCAGAGTTGCGCGGAATGTTCTGATATTACAGGTGAACTTTATTCGAGCATACGAAGTTGGAAACGCTGGTTTACGTTTCTCTAATTACACTGTGTGGATAGAAAATTAAGTTTCTGATTCGAGCTGCCATCTGTAACTACGTTCTAAACTGTTTTACCGACAAATTGCGTGACACTACTTGCTGATAGTCGATTAAACCATATTAAGATGATGATAATTTATGTTAAAAAAAATAATAAAAAACAAATTTTAAACTACTTGTGCTAGCATTTATAGCAAAATTATATTTTTTCAACATTATCTTTCATTAATTTTTCTTTTTTATTTATATATAGATTATCTTTTACGTTGTTAATTCTATTATATTAAATATTTATTAAAAGAAGAAATTCTCTTAACGTTTAATGTAACTTTTAATGTAAATTTAAATGATCTTAAAAAATTATGATATCTATTTTCTAATTTTTTATTCTTGATTGACAAAATATTTTTTAAAAATCTAGTTTAATGTTATTAATTTTTTTAATTCGTAAATTTCTAAGAAATACTGGCATTACATTAAACACATTCGACTTGTGTGATTGTGACAGAAGGGCGTAGATTCTATATGGTCTGTTGGATTGTACTGGTTTAGTATTCAATATCAATCAAATTCGGCTTTCAATTACGCGCCCGGCTTACTCGAATACAATTTGTATTCGAGCTTTGTATTAATCAACGCACTCTATACCGAATTTTCCTTTACTCGAGATAGTTTACCAATGGTTACATCGCTTGTAATAACCACGCATATTGTTCCCCGCCGCATTGAACTTTGAAATTTCGCAGCGCGAAACATTTGTTTTGCACACGAGCTGTTATTTCGAAACGTTAATTATAAAATTTATTCACCTCTGGCGGAGGTGGACTCAACACGAACCTTCCCCAGCCAATCGTGAAATCTTTTTCCATCGATATTTTTCTATATAATAGAAATAAAATAACACATAGAAATAAAATAACAGTTTACTATAGAAATTTGATAACACAATGTAGCTTGCTTTTTACGTATCGTTTACCGTTTATTATACAACATTTATTTTAGAGATTTTCAAGAAAAGATCATAAAAAAAAAACAACTCGTGCAAATTAATCATATCTCTGAAAATATAAAATATGTATAAATCATTTTTTTTTTTAATTTTCGTTTAATTTTTCCGCATGCACGCGACTTGTAAAATATCGACGATGATTTTTATCATAAAGATAGCAATACATTAACCGGTTTTGACAAGTTCCGGGCGCGTGCTCAATCGGCGATGAGTTGAATTTTTTTTTTTTTCATACGACATCGGAAAAAATATCGACAGTACCATGGCAGGTATAACTCGCGTCGCGAGTTCACGTGTGTCCTCCGGCGACTCTGTGACCTGTACGCGAATTGGACGTCTGACCTTTAACCTTCCTCCCGTGATATCGTGGCACTTTATCCCTGCCATCGCTCCGCTCACACGCGCCACCCGAGAGCTCATTGTGCGGAGTTTCATCGTCGACGCTTGACGCTTCGGATGAAGATTAATCATCGCCAGGAGTCTACTATATCGCACTCTAACGCTATAAAAAGTGAAAACCATAAATATGTATTTTATATGAATGTTAGAAGCTCGGCGGATATTTTTCTCTTCTGCCTGATTCGTCAATTCATTATTTTGGAGATGTCGCGTTTCGTAAATGTCAAAGGACCGACAATTCGAATTACAAATGATAGAACAAATCTTCCGAAGAGTCTTTGCGTTATTTTAGCCGCGCGGGTTATTTTCTTTACTTTCTTCCCATTCAATATTTATTTTTGTAGTCAACGAATGAGAGTCAGTAGTGCTAAGCTTAAGATAATGTTATTACTTGTGTCGCTTGGAACGTAAATGGAGCATTGCATCGTGCAGGATGCGGATATTAATTGCGTGACCGATCTCTGTACCGGTACATCCTTTGCTTCGATTCATGAGCGCGTGCAGTTTTCAAGAAGCTTATCTTTAGTGACGAAACAACGTCTGGCGCCTGACACTGCGTTTATGATATACGCAAATCGTCTTTGTTCGTTAATTGTGGAACTCGATCGCCAATCACGCGACTCATTTGCACGCAGCAGAACAAAAAAAAAACAGATTGAAGAATCGTAAACGAATAATTGTCTCACACACACATACAATGTTATTATCTAATGTCAAAAAAGTTTTATATGGTTATCATTCAATTGCATAAATTTCGGGCGTCTTGTATTTGAATTTTATCCATATTTATCGGTTTTTCTTGTCTTCCAAACGAATAGATTGAGATCTTTTTGTAATCGTTAAAAATTTCCATTTACGTGCTGTTCACACGCATTCGTAAAAAAGAATATCATTTCATTAAAATTATACGAGAGCGATGACGATCGACGCTCGCAAAAATTCTTCGTCTATGCTTTAGGAGAAGTCAAGCTGCACGAGATTTTTGTTATCGAAGAATAACGAATAATTAAAATGAAGCTATCGGCAATTTTCATTGTTCGTTGCATTGTTTATCGAGGAAGTAAATCGTCATTTATATGGGAAGTAACGAAACTTGCGGCATGATGATATCGCTTTTCATGCGAACGGAAAGTTATCCTTCAAAGGGGAATCTCTTATTTATGCTGAAAAGTACGCGCGCATCGGCGAGGTCAATTTCCATAGGAAAACCGATAACCGGAGGCGAATCGATCATTATGGCCGCCGTATACGGAACGAACAAATGCGGAAACTTCGCTTCTACTGGAGACCCAACAAGTTGCAGCTATAATACCGTTGCGTCGCGAATAATCCGCTCAACAAGCATTATTCTGTTTTCCGATCGCGTACATTTTTCTCGCTTTACCGTGCAAACTGTCACTAGTACTGGGCTATTCGATGAAAAAATCTTCTCTGCACATTTGCAAAAAATGGGGAAAAATACACTGATATAATAGCAGTGATAGATGTAATGGAAAAAATAATTGCACATGATTGCAATATTGCTATAATTTCCATATCTGTTCTATGCATATATATATATATATACACGTATGTTCTGTGCGCCCAATTATGCAATTATATAAATTGTGATCTTTGTCCCATGATTATTTCTCACCGACCCAGATGTAAACGAGTTCGCCAAGTCTCCTTTTCAATCTACGACACAAGGGGTAAAGTGTGGAATTTTCGACAAATCCAAGTCCATTGATATCATATTGCATCATAAATATGTGATGACGAGAATATTCGTTATAATAAATATACGCGCATGCATTTATGTAAGAATCATGGCGAACGATGCCACATCCGCCATGCGTAAGCGCGTCTTTGGATAAGGATTCATTACGGAGATCTCTGCATACAGGAAGTTTGAATATAATCGGAGCCGTGACTCGTCATGGTATTACTCAGATTTCAGTTTTATCTCCAGATTCTTTTTAACACCCGCTGCTGTCCACGAAGGGGTTTCTCTACAGAATATTTATACGCAACGTATACTTAGCGTTAAATGTAGCTACTTAATATTCATGCAACGTTGAATGAGATTTTCATATTAAACAAGTAAAACTCGTATAAAAGCGACTTGACTTAATTTTATACAAGTTTTTTTTTTAAACTTTGAAGAAAATAATGTAGTAATAATATTGTATAATTACATGTATATATTAATATTTTATATGCGTACATGAATTACACATATATAAAATATATTGAAGATTCGTAGCGTTCTATGATTTTTAGTATATTCAAATCCTGAACAGTGATATTGTTGATATGATGAATGATTTTCGATGTAAAACGTTAAATCCGAGAATCAAAGATACGATTTGGTCGGGTATACTCTGACATATTGTACTTTAGATGAACTCTAACCGTGTCTTTTACCCTTTGACATACTTTGTCATGTATCCAACAACGATCTGATATTGTATCGGAGTTTACTTTAACTGTTACTGTGAAATATACTATTACAACATAGTTTGTATTTCATTTATGAGGCATGTTGGCTTT